ATTGAATTCTGAATAATAAAACCAAATCGATTCAATAACAACATATCAACCCGATAATGATCTATTCTCTTAGACTATTTTACATTATAAGGACACGACAGATTATTCCTACCCATCGAGCAACAAATCGTGTGTAGTGTGGTACCTATGAGCAAACACCAAACTTTATTGGAAGTTACTTTCCCATAATCCCTTAATGTCCCCTATAAATATGCAGATCTGTTGGAATCTCCGTTACTTGTTGCAGTAACATAGATACATAATTTTACATTTTAAAATAACGATAAACATTAAACGAATTTACAGTCGAACTTGTAACAATACAATAAAATTTTAATTACGCATAATGTTTATGGTCAACTACTTATTAATGTTTATTAAAGATGGAATAGATATATTCTAATTTTGCAATACAACATAATTAATCATAAGGAAATATTTATAAGATACATATATAAACAAATTGTTATACGTTACCGTATAAACAATGTAAACAAACATATCACTAATATGCCACATATTTATAAACAACAACCACAATAATAAAAATCAAATGATTTACATACATATGTATGCATAAGCGGACATAAACTATGCTAATACAAATATCAACATAACGGAAAATATAATATAGATGAGCTAAGTGCTTAAGATAAATCATTATTTCCATTTCGCAATTTAATTTGTGTTCAAATAGCAAATAGTCATTTTCGCCGTTAAATTTATAGCTTCAATTATGAAGTCTCCTTACAACAATTGGCTCTGTGCAATAGAAGTATTATCAAATTGAACTGGGGCAACGATAGTACCTCGTGTTAGTACCGTTATTTAGAGTAAACAGGGAATGAAAATACACGTCAATTTGTAAGAAGTCTCGTTGAAATGAAACATCAAAGTTAGCAGAAATAAATTACTTTATTAGGGACACAATATTATATTCAAGTTTTTTTTTGTTATAGTATATATACTATAACAAATAAAAAAAACTTGAATACTTAATGCTTAATACTGTCTTTAGTTTTTTCTAGGATTAAGAATAATAATACAGGGAGTATTATTATGATTATACGCGTAATTTAGTTACTACTCTAAACTACGCGTATAATCATAATAATCTCTAATCTATCTCTAAATTTTATTTTTAAATTTTTATTCTTTATTTTACATTTCATTATTGTACCAAGTAAGAAGAACTAGTTCTTGTTCATGTTTTATAAGAATCTTAATAGTAACTCTAAATTACGCGTATATTTTTAGCATTCTTAAAAATATAGACTAACCAAACTAATCGATAAAAACTAAAATATGTAATATGCAGTAAATCAACATTTTAACTACGACTGGAAAATTGAAATCTTTATCTTTACGTAGTCAATAGAAAGATATCGATATACCCAATGACATTTACTGAGGAACATTTAATTACGAGAAATAAATAAATACCAACTAGGGCAATATCATTTAGTATGTACCCTATATAGGTAAAAGAAGCAAATAATAAAGTGAGTATTGAAACAGGATCCCATATAGAGATGTGCGTCGACGCAATCCAGACCCGTATTTCCAATCTTCATACTGAGATCTCAAATTCTCGCGCTGGAGCTGTAAAAGACCTTATTAGCTCGAAAGCTTCTTGTAGCTTTGAGATCGTATTAATGATATTGGAGCAACGTGTCCAACTACCATATAAGATGATTTGATACAAAAAGTGACTAATGCAATTTATTTTATTTCATACTATGCACTACAGTTGTATCAGTAATGCTAATCTATTAAGCATTGTATTGATTTTTTTTAATATAATATTTTAAGCAGGTTCAGGCAGTAATTGCTACTTAAGAAGAATGAATAAGTTCTTTAACCGGATATCAGTAGCCTGAAGCAATTCTGGATGATGCTATACTATAAGAAACTACGACCAAATGTAACATGAAGACCCGACTCAATTTAGAAGTCACAATAAATTCTTAAGCCAACTGCACTAAATGGAAATTACTAAAATACATGTAAATATCCTATCTGTGTTGCAAGAACTGAACTTACGATCTCTAACCTTTTTATACATTACATATACTTCACCGTGATTCTGTTTAATGTTTAGCTCATTAGATTACATTATACACGATACACAGATTTATCTTGTCAGAATTAGACAAGAAACATTCTAATTATGTTTCTTTATTAATTTTAAATGTACGATTAATCTTCAAAGAGTTATCTGAATTTAATTAACATTACCTTATTTTTGCTCAGTGTTTTCATGTCAAATGTTTATACCTATTGTTCGAAATTTAAGTTGAGTAATATTAGTTCATTAGCACATAGAATTGGTAGTTTTCGGACTTTGCTTTGAATTGATTTTGGTTTTCCTTGGTTATACAGACTGTTACTTCTGGTGTAGGATCGATCTACTCATAAGTAAATATCATTATCTTACCCATAGACTATACATCTGTGTCTATAGAAAAAGGAATAGTGATGATTTCAAGTCATATACATACATTATATATACATAGCTATGAATATATAGGCAGGACTGGTACTGTATATGAGATATTACTTATAGATCACTACAATATCTATATTATTGTTATTTTTATCTACTTGTATGTGTTTCAGTTATGTTGTTTCTAGCGTTTTTGTTTAAGAATACTTTTGCTTTTTTTTTCTGTATAAGTGATATGTGCTTTTGAAAGATACGTCTATCGTTAGTTGTCACGTCTAACGAGGAATTTCTCACAAACGTGGAGCTAGTACCTTACTTATAGAAAAAGAAAAATATTGAAGTACTTATTAAATAAATTTTCCTAGTCTCTATAGAATTACGTTATCTACAATTTTCCACTTAACAATACAAAAGCAATATGACTATAAATATCAGAATCGGGTCCTCCCATTGTGTTGTATGTTATACTACAATAAACCTACAGTAGTAGAATTTAAAATAACTTCAACAATAACAAAACAAGGTGTCTATGTATTTACAGTTAACGTTTGAATTCTATATAAGTGTACTGACGCCACTTCATATTAGTGATTCTACAAGCGTAAATGGCTGTTACCACACTTACCGTAACCAATTCGTACAACACACAGCTCGTAAACTTTCGTTCAAGACTTATATATGAAACCTAGAGGCAAATTTGTGATATCTACGAATGAATGAAACAAAAATATCTTAAAAACCGTGTCAACACAGATTATATGGTATCATGTAACTACATTAAGAGTATTTACGAATATATTATGAGTCAATCATTAAACATAAATCGTAATAAATTGTATTCTAAATCATCTCTCAAAGCCTATCCCTATATGTCAACCCTTTCAGGATTCAGAGCTAAAATCTTAATCACAATATGAGTATCTAAAGAAAATTAAGTTTCATAACGTATATTTTTTATATTTACAGGTATATGTATATAATTGCTTTTCACTTAAACATATCTTATGTCAAGCAATTACACTAGCTTCCTATATAACTTCACATCACAAATTTTAGATATAAAGCTATTTTCACCGCCAGTAGCTTGCATCGTAGACTGTACTTCATTTTGAAGAGTGAGATACGATCGTGAAATTATAGTCCTCACAAATGATAATGTATTAGACGTACTACAGCCGTCACTAATATTTTGTGATATCCATAGGGGGTATTCATGTGTATACTCGACAATTACCTAGTTTGTATTTTGTTTTAAAAAATCCGACACAGGATGTTTTCTGTGCACATTATAAATGTATTAACAAAAAATCTCTGACTATTTTGGAACATACCAAGTATATACCAGGACAATTTATTTCATAAAATTGTAGTTATTTTTAATAGAAACATACAATAATTCTTCATCAGAATAAAATATAACTGTATATGATATTTTAAGTGGGATATTCGTACGTTTCAAAATAAAGTAACAATTTTATTCAGTGAAACACCAGTTGTGATAAGTTGAACATTTATGAAGGTATATAGTACCAATAAACAACCTGCAACATTATAAGCATTAAGTCGTGTTGCCTAACGCGATCAAAGGTGCTTTAGATAGCGAGCCTGATCCAAAACCTGTCGAAGTCAGCCGAGGATCACAACTTGCAACATGGCAATCTCGCATTCCGAACGCATAGAACTGATTTACGTTCAATGTGCAGTTACACTTTATTTCATGACGCACTATGAATCTATTTCTATAAAGAGATCAAAGGTATTTACTTGAGTTAGTGATATTTTCCGATAAAGAATTATAATAAATAGAATCATTATATACATATATTCAGCATAAAACACAAATCAAACATATTTTTTTTCAACTCTCTGAGTAAATTTGCTGCTAATTATATTTGGTATAGATTATAATTAAATATAAAATTTCTTTTTAACAAAGTATTTTTCAATAACATTTTGTTTTATAATCAAAAAGACGTTAGCCTACTTTCTATCACCTTACTGATATTATAGTTTAGATAGTTCTTCTATAAAATACCTTATTTTTTAATATTAAATACAGTCTAGAGTATTAATAATAATATATAAAGCAAGACAATATATAAGGTACCTGTAGGTAAATTAAAATGCTTATCATGTCATGTTATCTCTCTGTAAATGATTTATAGTATTAGGTAGGTATACATTTTTATACCTGTACAATACAATAATTCATTAATACAATTCCGTGTCAATGTTCGTATAATTTAATGTCTCCATTCGCAAGCTGATGTCGTGGGTAGTGGTCTTAATTCCTCTTTTATATGCTTAGCACCACACCCCTTGATTTGCTAATACAGCATTTATCCATTTTAAGCTGGTATACATCGTGACATTTATTTGTATAATATGAAAATATCGAATTCTATTGGCTAAATTTGTGAGAACTACCTACCAGCATGCCAAATATTTAAAGAGAAAGCGCGTGCAAATGGATCCTAAATGTTTGAATAGACTCATTATGTGTTTATAACATAAGCATGTGTGTTTGCATAATACATTTGCATTCTAGACTCACCTAGAAGTTGTTGTTGTATGTTCGATCTCATTACCGCACCACCATTTTGAATCTGAGAACAATGAGACAAATGATGTAGTCAAATAAAGTATTATACATTATATTTTTAAACTATATTATTTAGGTTACGCAATCTCTCACTAATTAATTTAGTAAAAGATTGTGTATTGAATTAAATATTAATTAAAACAATAAAATATTGTAAATCATAAAATTTACATACACATTTACATACATTTAAAAAGTATACTACAGGATTGACTCCTAAATTAAGATAAAATAAATAATTGTTAATCTGTAAATCTAGAAAATACTGTGTATGACTCGTACTTTATTTTTACAATCCATTAAATTAATGCTATTATCAATGAAAATGATTGTCAATAATAATTTAACCTATGTATTACAAATATTTGTCGATATTTAAGAATAAAATATATAGAAAATTAAATTAAAAAATATATGGAATATAAATGATCATAAAGTCTTAATATTATGCTTTACCAGCGTGTGTATAAATACACATACTCTATACATATACTATATTTGGACTAATTTATTTTTAAGACTTTATAAGAACGATAACTACATACAGTCCTTTAATCGCTAATGACATGGTTTAAAAAAACAACGCCGCTTTTACAAGAGAAAATTTATAGCGGTTACATCAATAGAATTATCCATAAATCCAACATCAATTGCCACCATACCATATGTGGTACTATAAAGAGAGAATAAATTTACGTTATAAAAGTTGAAATGTGCGAACGTAAAATGCATTTGATATAAATCATACTTCACAATACATAATGTTATCGCATTATGATATGAAAAGGTCTAGAATAAGTATCGCGTCTATAGAAAAAAGGAATCACTAATTTTACCTAAAATCATAAATTTTTAATTGAATAACAATTTATTAGGAACCAAATAAACTATAATAATGTAATTATAGTTTTTAATAAACCTTGAAGTGAAATTTAATATGTAAATTAGAAACGCAATATTTAAATGAAAATGCAATTAAAATTTGTCAAGAATTCATTTACTAAAAATTAATTAACTCCATCCGTTCTGCTTTCCTAAATTTAAATAATTCTTTATTTACAATCCAGCTCTAAAAAATTATAAACATTTTAGTATTTCCCCAAACTGGACGGTAGGAATAGGGACAAAACATTGTCATTAGCATAAGTTGCCGACGTTATCCTATATGATTAATACATTTTTAATTTAACTTAAAGTCAATTCAAGATATTTTTAGAGGCAATATAAGAACATAAAGGAATTCCTGGACCTCGTGAGGTGCTATAAATATAAAACAACTTACTGAATACTTATAGTAAATGCTTGACGTGAACAGAATAATAATGCAATGGTTTTTAGTTTATCTGTCTCTAAACACAACTTAAACATGTCTATCAGGACTGTTACTTGAAAATTTCAATGATTTCTTAAGGAACTATCTGTATACTGCAGGTGGCAATGCTCGCGTACAATAGAGCCCATGTTATTTAGCATGTGAAAGAATTTTCAATAAGCTGAAGTATTTGTTTATTTATATATAAATCGATTAGAAAAATCAATTTCTTAAAAATTTTACCAATATTAATTTCAACTATATCGCCATATTTACAGGAGAGTAGGGTAGGGTAGATATTTAACGAACTTTGTGAAAAGTCTTCTGCGTACACTCTGTTAGATATGGGTAAAGGCTGAGTGAGATAAAGAAGTGAAATTACAGAAATAAAGGAATGACATTCTAATGCTACTGGATGACAATGTATGAGAGATACCACGAGCGTCATATTATAACGTGATATTCGTAGTGGGGTTTATGTATATAGGCGACCGTGACGGTTACCTCTCACCATCAGGTGCACTGTAACTCGTAAGCTTATTTGACATTGCAGTGACATAAAAAACATAAACCGCCTTCGAGGATCTCTACTCTACCATACATACTCTACCATCTTAGGGAGTACTCCCTAAGATGGTAGAGTATGCTAATAACATTACGCCCGCCTATAGTAAGTACAAAAATTCAGTAATAAATGAAAATAAAATAAACATGCCCGAGAAAATTACCTTCTGACAGTCCCGTTAAATATAAACATTTTACAATCTCAACCACGAAAGTGGTTGTGAATAATTAAAGAAATTATCCGGGCAGCTGACGAATGCTCCTGCGCTGGGTCGTGCAAACGTTACTTCCCCAAGTAAATTATCTACTGTGAATTATATTATTACCTAAATTCATGACCGAACCATGACCATAAATGGTTATTACGTTCTCTCGCTGCACTTTTTGAGGGATTGCGTGAACAGCGAGAAGATTGATGATGAGTTGATGATACTTATGACACTGTTTGTTAATCTTCACGGAAACTTTTGTATTTGTTGAACTTCTCTAATTTCACATGAACAAATCTAGAATTATAAATGATTCCAACATTAAATAATTAGATCTTACTATATAATTCATCTTAGAAATAATAAATATTGTAAAAACAAACAATTTACGAACAAAATAATTATACACATACTCATACAAAATTTCAAGTAAGTTAAAGTACATATATACCTACTTGAATATATTTTAATGACAGCTATTTCTGTAGCATTGCGATAATCAATTATACTCAATTACTAGTACAATGTACAAAAATTACTATACACGGCGAACGCCGTACGATATGGTACTAAGTTTTATGTGCAGCAATTTAGAAAGGCACACGAAATGTAATATAGGAAGGCAATCAGACTACTTCTCATTTTAGTTCTTACAAATGATAATTACTCTTATGCAATTACGCGAAATGTCAATGTTGTCGAATATAAAGTACTGCTCATATGATTGACTTACTCCACTACGACGAATATTTACCAACTTATATTTACAATTTCTTTTCATAGTCATTCTAATATTCACCTTAATGCCTTCCTACAAGAATTATATCGCTTTCTAAATAACAATACCACTGTAACGCCGTAGGTCACTCATCAGGTCGCTATAGATCTACAAGTTAGATAAAAGTTACATCCAATACATCAGTATAACTGCGTATATATGAAAAAAAGAATCTCTTTAAGTGTGTTTAGTAATTATGAATGTACTGAATGTACTGTACCGACCCATTTTATTTGGAATTCGGTTATAGCATATGCCTCTTTGTCTTATGAGTTAGTTCTTATTATTTGCCGTGAACTGTACTGTAACTTGTCAATAGACCTTGGATAGCTAACGTTTAAAATGTTTTCCTAATGATGGAACTTTTGTACGTGTATCAATGTTGGGTAGAAATTCTATGAATAGTCCTATTATAGAATAAATATAGGAATATACTAAGAATGCATTTCAATAGCTGCTGATCACCGCAAACTATTTTAATCAGAGAAAAACTGGCCGTCGACATTATTTATAGAAGAATTCCTGGCAAACAATGTGGTCACATCACATGCTTTATTTAATCATGTGTAAAATAACAATAAAAGGTTTTAATTTTCATACTACAATGCAAAGAAACACTTCTTGTACACAGGTATAGTCAAAATAGTACGAAAAATAACACAAATACCTTTGAAATAAATACAATTTTGCCTTATTTTCATAATATAAATATCAAATATCATCAGTAATTAACTGCAATATAACATCTCTTAGAATAGCAATAAATGTACATGAAGCGTCGGTATGAAATTGTCAGGTTTCCCGCAACCACGTAAATAGGCTTAGAAACGTATACTATTATGTCAAAATGATTATATTGTGGAATGAGAGAACCATTACTTACTCCATAATATTGTACTAATTACTGCCTATAGTGCACTGCTAATTCTTACTGCTTTTTGTACAGTACATCATCATAATTGTTTTCGTTTATATTCTAATGCTAAGGCCTATGCCTTTATAATTAGTTATAAGAACCTGAATAGAGATCGTTCAATACTGCTTGAACAGTGTCCGTTATTCGACATGCTCTCTTCGTCATAAATATGTTTTTCGAGCTATATGGGTTACAATTCCATTCATTAGCCGGTCCTTATTTTATTTAGTCTCCGGTCTTTCCTTCATAAAATCACTCTTACTTTATTACATTTTAATGATATATACTCTAAAAATATAAGTATATACATAATCACATAATGTAGTTAATAGTTATAGATTTGCGTTTTGAACTAAATTATCTACATATCCGTATGAGTTTTGACTGTATATAGAACAGAAACTTTCTATTCATAAATATAACGTAGATCCCAGAATTGTATAAATAAACATTTAATTATAACTGGATTGGCAAAAAAATTACCAACTCATGACGGAAGATATTACTTATCTATTGGCTATACATAAGGCACATGACTATGAACTTAATAAAATGTATTTTACATAGTATCAACGTTTGTCGTTGTTTCAGAGGACTACAGTGTTAAAAATGGCAAAAATAATATAAAAAAATAATTTATTGTTTGTATTGAATAAACATAAAAAATAGTTGACTAATTTATAAATTATTTCTGTTATAATAAGTAAATTATGAGGAATGTGGGCCGCATTTTATTAAAAAAAGTTCATACAATAATTGCATATATGCAGGAAGTCATGGCGAGTCGCTATTGAAAAAAAAGTCTACAAAACAAGTGTCAAAAATGTCGTGTATAATTATCAGTCACAAAATCGACTGTGTAGATATAACGGATTGCACAATCAATACCACTCAATCATAGTACGACGTACCTATGTAACGTATTTAAATTAAATAGTCATACTATTTTCACGCTCTCTAAGTATTCCTGTTCGTTTAATGGACAGATAGACAAGCATAACGAATTGTAATAAAGCTGAGAAGTAAGCAGACATATTTGCCATACATCTTGTTGGTGTAACAGTCTTTTAAGTTGTTTATCTATATCGGAGAATATCAGAAAGTGTGTCGATATATTACTCAGTTGATGAATAGCTTTGAAGTTTTCAACACATATGTAACTTTGCAGTCATACACATAATTACCTATATTATATCTATGAATATATTAATTGATATTTTATGTT